GAGAGAGAGAGAGAGTCGAGTAATTAACCAAGTGATAATGATCGCGTCGTCGCTACGTCGCGTCGAACGTAAGTGTTACACGTGATCTAAATCGATCGAAAAAGTCGCGTTACCTTCTGTGAGAACTTTTCTTCTTTTTATGTTTCTTGTGAAACTTTTGCCTATCTGTGTAACTTCGACTTCCACTCGGACTCCTCGATCGCGGCCTAGACCTTTTCCCGGTCAAATCGGCGCTCTTCAATCTGTCCATTAAAGAAGAATTTCCACCCGTGCTCCTCGAGTCGCAGGAAGATTTTGCGTCTTCCAACGAGGGCGAGGGGGATGGCGACGGAACGGAATGCACTTCGTCCGAATCGTCTTTCCTCGTCCCTAACTGATTTGCATTAGTCGCCGTTGCCCCCTTTGGTAAACCGCTGCTTTGTATCTGGCTCAAAAACGCGGCCGCTTTCTTCTTCCTCTCCAACTGAAGCTGCCTCTCCCTCGAGGTGGCCGCCAATTTATCACGCGCCGCCGCGACCAATTTATCCTTTATTCTATCTTCCGAGGCCTGTTTGTGCCTAATCTCCTTCTGACAATCCTCCAGAATCTCGTCCGTAAGATCTACCAACTCCTTCTCCTCGTTTTTCCACTTTTTCTCCGGCTTCCACCCTCCACCGACCACCTCCTTCTCCACCGACGTCCCGAGAACGAGCAGGGAACACTGCTCGTTCGAATCTTGGGGCGAGCTCGGCTTCGAATTGCTCTCCTTGCTCTCCTCCTCCATATCCTCGTCGCTCTCCTCCAGTAAAAGCGCGTTTCGCTTCTCGATCACCCCCGTCTCTCCGTCCTTTGGCTTCTTTATCGAGAACGACACCGTCGTTATCTGTTTTACACCCTCTGCGCTCGTCGTTGCCGCTGCTGTCGTCGTCGTCGTCGTCGTCGTCGTCGTCGTCGTCGTCGTGGCAGCCATTGCCGCTGTCGTCGTCATCGTGGTCGTGGTCGTCGTCATAATCATCGTCGTGGTCATCTTTGGTGACATGGTCGACATGGTCGTCATAGTTGTGGTTGTAGTCATCGTGGCCGTTGTCGTTGCCATCATCGTCGTCGTGGTGGTGGTGGTCGTCGTTGTCGTTGTCGTCGTCGACATCGTCGTCGTTGTCGTCGTCGTGCTCGTCGACATCGTCGTCGTGGTCGTTGCCGCCGTCGTCCCCGCCCCTGCCCCCGTTGCCAACGCCGTAGCGGTGCCCGTCGCCGTCGATATCGTCGTTTCTTTCAACTTGGGCTCGCACTTCTTTTTCGCTTGTATCATCTTCACTCTCTTCTGAACCTCTTCCATCCTCTGCTGCTTCTTCTGCAATTCCTCCAACTTCTTTTGCTTCTCCTCCTGCGGCTCCTGTTTCTGCAACAACTCCTCCTCCGTCAATACCTTCGGATTCACCGCACCCTCGTATATCGTCAACTTATGCGCGTAATAACCGTGATACTGGTGCGACAATTCGAGAAAATTGAATCTTGGGTCTCCTTTGTTTTTCACGATCGCCTCGAAATCCCTACCATTTTTCGCAACGTAACTCGCCATTTTGTCGATAATTATTTGCACATCCGCCGGTGGAACGATGAAGGAGGGTCTGCTCAATTGTTTCTGAGACGTGGATCCGTACGGTACCAACGGTAGCTGAGTTTCGTTCGTCGTGATTTGCGACGTGCCCATTTCGTTCGCAGATGGCAGTATATTCGCTACGGTGATTTGTAACGGTGATTGTATCTGTCCGTTTGGCCCGTATATCACCGGCCCATGGGAATATTGTACAGGTGTGATTGCTGTCGTAGCCATCCCTGTCCCCGCTCCCGCCGTCATCGTCCCTGTCCCCGTAACCGTGTTTGAATAAGCATTGTAGCTCTACAAAAAAAAA